GGAAAGTCTTTCATCACATTATTGTGTTTATTTAAAAAAAGAAGAAGAGGTAAATGTGTGTGTGACATTTCTAGTCGAGAGACAATGTTAAAAGGAAGGGAATAAGAATTTTCTTCTCAAAATTTCTCCACATGTGGAGAGAAAAGGTGAGAGGAAAAAGTGGTGGGATTCACTCTTTATTTTCTTTTCAACTTTTCTTTCCTTTCAATTTTCTCTTCCCAACCAAATATGAAAAAATGTGTTTTCTCTCCTTTTTTCTTTTCTAATTTTCTTTCTTTGCATAATTTCTTCCCATCCAAACAAGAGGTAAGAGTAGCTTTTGCAACACTTCTCATTTCAGGATCAAAGATCAGAATAATAAATGAAAGCAAAGGCCAATAATCTTAAGAAGGTATGAAAATGGTAGCTACCATAATAGCCACCAATATACCATTGCCCACATAGAACATATATGTAATAGAAATACTAAAAGGAGGAACTTGAAGGTCCAGGAGGTTGATAAGAGTTGGAATGCTTGAAGAAGATTTCCAGCAAACTTTAAGAAAATAGAAACAGCTAGAATGTGTGCATGCATTGTGGTCACTGATGTATAATTGAACTCCACCATTGTCAATACCTTCATGGTCAAACACCAAAGTGAAATATGGCAACAAAAGTATAGCAGCAAGAATGGTAATTGGTTCCTTATGTTGATTAGTAATGCCAAAAATGAAAGAGCATTCTTGATACACATAATGATAAACTACAGAGGTTCTTTTCCATCCAACACCAAAACCCAAAGCAAATGATCAATCCTAAATCAACGAATTGGAAAGATAGCAAGAACATAACCTTTACTAGGGCAATAGATTAGTAGACATTTCAAATTGATTACAGTAAGCTGGCTCCACAATAAACATGTTGAACTCTAGTTTTGATAATTATAAAAATAGAGAAGTTTGTTTTTGCATATAAGCGTTATTAGCAAATTTAAGGAAATAAGGTTTAAATGTTTATACTCTCTTAGTTTCTTTAACCTTAATTCTTTTCTATTATAGAAATAATTATTTGAATTATTTCTTATCAATGAATTAGTTCAACTTGAATTAAATAGAATTAAATCTGTTGTTGGATTTATTCTTGGACATACTAGTATATGTCATGCATACCAGTATGTCAATGTCCTACCCATGTGTATCACTTCTACCTAAATATCTAAACCTTATTTGATCTTGACACTGCTACTAATATATATGAACTTCTATCAGAAGATGTTCTTCCTGCCTAAATGATTGAGCCTACCTTGTGCATGTTACTTCTATTAGGATGTTGGACTTCTACCCAAATGTCTCACATCTATCTAAATGTCCAACTTACTACCCAAATGTCCTACTTGATTCTCAACATAAAATTTCTACCGATATGTCTCTGTTCTACCCAAATGCCTCTTTTCTACCCAAATATATTTGGAGCTACTGGTATATGACTTTAAGAATCAACTTCTTTTACATAAATCATTCCGGTATTACTCTCTTCTACTCGTATGAAGCTCTTCATTGTTTACATTAAAGCACTCATACTTCTATTAGTACATCTACATTTCTACAAGTATATCCTTAAAGAATTTAGCTCTATTTTTTTGTGACTTGGACAAAGCATCTCAAAGCCTTTCTAATCTTTAATCTTTTCTACTTCCAAATCTTGTTCTTACTTTCTTATCATCCTAGAATACTCTTAAATGCAAGCATGGATGAATTCAAACTCCTATTCATTTCTTGATTCATCCTTTCTACCTGTATGACTTTGCTCTGATGGTATTACCTTCTTTTACCTTTTGTTAGAGCATTTATGTATACAGCCATTAACACAAACCCTCTAGAAAGTATTGTTCTATTGCCTCAAACACTGGGAAAACTTAGAGGAAACAAGAAGAAGTCTTCAACAGCAAACTCATGAGTCTAATGGATTTATTTCAAGAATTAACTATAACTAGGACTTATTTATGAAGCAGAAAAATATGGAAGATAATTGAGCCAACTACACACATTTATTCTCTAACAACCTTCTGATATTACATTCATTATTTTGAAAGCAACATTGATTGTATATCCACTCTAAAGAGAGAGTTTTTATTACAATAGTGATTCATTATTAAATTCACTCCATTTATCTCTGTAATTCATTCTTAAAACAGAATAACTTAAGCTCTTGAGTTACATTGCAATAACCAAAGCACCTCCAGATTGGTAAGATTCCCAAACTTTGCATGCCAAAATAGAAAGATAGAGAAGGAAGAGTGATGAAGGAGAAGAGAGAGAGAGAGAGTGTGTGTGTGAGGGGCAATTGGGTCATTTTAGCAAAAAATATTAATTGCAAATGAAGACCTTGGGCTTAGAGTGACATATAAGAATCATTTGGGCCATATATACAAAAATATTCATTTTAAGGGCTCAATGAGGTTCTCCCTAACTTTTAATGGATATTATATGATACGTTGATATGTAGATTTATATTGATGCTATCAATGTCAACATATAAATAAAATAAAAATTGTTGGTCATATTTTTAAATTAAAATTAAAATTCATTGTTTTGATTTTATAAAAAAAAAGCTTTTATAACAGTTTAAAATTATATTTTAATTTAGGGAATGACTAAGAATTTCAAAAAATATTAACTTATTATTGCATTATTCAGACAACCAAAACAAATCTCCCAAATTTCTCTCACGTTCAAGAGCCGAAAGAGTATGTTTTATTTGATTGTAGGGGAGTTAGTTCTCAAAATTTGTGATGAGTTTTAGCCCAGAGTGAAAATAAATCTTGGGCTCCATTAAAAAAAAAATCCTTTTATGAATATAAAAAATAGACTCTACCAACAGCAAAACTTCTCTCAGAGATTTATGACAAATAATAGACCCCTTTCAACTAGTTGAGATTCTTCGACCAACAGATGTTGGTTTTAGTGAAAGAAACTATAACTTTTTAAATATGAGATTTTGAGTTTGAGTTCTTATGAAAGCAAAAATCACATTTGAGACTTAGCTATCTTCTAATTAAATTAACAATGCTTGAATATGACTCGATTAAATAGTTATGTAGAACAAAAATTCTTATGAGATTTGAAATTTAGTTGAATTTACTTCTCTTGTAATTGATCCCTCCATGTATGGGCTGGCACGGACCCTGAACCTGGAAGAATTGTGCCATGTTATATTGCAGTCCAACAAAGACATAGTTGTAGGCTCTATATCCAATGCATTAAGATGTATTTGTATTTGAATTCTTACTCTTTTCTCACTTACCATTGCGCTTTTTTTGTCCCAAATTATTTCTATAATATACACTTCATTTTCCTTTTAAAAAAACTGCTTTTGTGTAATTGGACCGTTGGTTCTTTATAAAGGGTAAATGGCATTTGAGTACCTTGTAAAAAGTTATTTACACTTTGGTACCTATTTAAAATTGGTAATCGCACATAGATGGGAATCTCATAAAGGTGGTTATAGTACGAAAGTGCTCATCACTTCAAAAAGAAAGTATGAAAGCTTTTATAATTTTCTTACAAGATATCCAAAGGCTATCCTGTTTTAGCATAATATAATTGTTGGCTTAATGATAATGTGTTTACTCATCATTTTTTTAATTCCTCACATTAAATATAAACATCTCTTTTAATGGAGATTCAAATCTTCGCTCACTACATTGTACTTAAAATTTCTTAATAGAGTAGAGATTGAAAGTTCAGTGTCTAGTGGAGTTATTACTAAAGTGCAAATAGTTGTCCCGGCAGTAGATGACATTTCATTTGAGTGAAGGGCCTCTAATGGGAAAGTAATATAACAAATGTGGGTATACTTGGTTAGGAGTTGGTACATAACTCACAAGATCATGATATTAAATTTTGCTACCCATATAAAGACTTTATTAATGGGTGATTTATAGGTACTCTCTGAATATAGAAGTATGTTTTGACTCTGGTAAGCTTTTAAGACTCAACTCACCTAAACTTTTCTTCATAAGAAAAAATGGAAAGCAATAATCAATTAGTGGTTACAACTTTATTAGTTGAAAATAAAGAAGTGGTTCGTTAGACCTTTGAAGGTGACAAATAATAACAATCAAAATCTTAAATTATAAAAATGATATTGAAAGGACTTGAGTACTTGGCTGATATCAAACTACAAATACTTGGATCAAGATGACTTTTGACTTTGTTGAAAATGTAGTGATTTCAATAATTAAAAGTTTAAATAGGAAAATCAAAATCTGAATTGTAAATAAGAAAACCTCAGTTAAAAATTTAGAACTAAGCTTCTAATTTTTAACAGTTGCCATGTTTCGTACCGATTACTAGCATTTTGATAGTTAACTTTTATCTTTGATCAACGAAGGACTTGAGTCCTTCAGTGTCAATATTAGTATTTACAGTGTCTCAGAGTTCGTTTTCCTTGTTCACTTAATTGGACTCTCCTTCTTTGTTATTATTATTATTATTTTATTTTTGAGTACATTAATTGGACTGTCCTTTATCACAAGTCCTTTTTTTTTCCCCCTGAACAATCCTTTTATCACAAGTCCCTTTTTTTACCCTGAACAAAGATAGTTAACCTCCAAAAATTCAATCAATAACAGCTAGTTTTTCAATTATTTTTTTTAAAATAAATTATAAATATTAATTCAGTAAAACATTTACAAATAAAAATTTCGGTTACAATTAATAATTAATTAATTGTTTTTGATACAAATCAATTAAAAATTTAAATATTTTATCTGCAACTGAAATTTTTGAATTTATGATTACCAAAATTAATATTTTAAATTTGTTTTCAAAAATTAAATTGTCAATGATCTAACCATAATTAATTCGATCTTTTAAAACTATACTGTCATTAATTCAATTTTCTATGACCCAACTATCAGCAAACTATTTCAAAGTTAACTAGGCATAAACTCCAACTTCTTCATAAACACCATTTCGTCATTGTCTTCAATTGCCGTGCAATTATTTCAGACATCAATGGAATTCAAATCTCTTATGAATATAGTTAATAATATAAAAACAAAAAGTACCACAGTTCATTGTTCGTCAATATCTCACCTAACCTGCAACTGAGAACTACTAGATGAAATTATGGGGAAAAAAATCATAACCATAAGGAAAATCCATTTCGAAAGTTGAAACAGGATTTAGAACAACACAGACTAGACATTACATGGCTAGTCCGGGTTCCTCAGCAGCAAGTAAACAAAGCATGTGATGAGAGAGCTAGCCAGAAGCTGTCTTCTTTTGCTGGAATATGACTGCAAAGACAGGAACAGCAACACCAATGCTGAAGGCACTGAACACAGCAAGAGACATCTTCAATGGACGATACTTCATCTTATCCAAGTTGTACATGTGTTTTGCATGCAAGTATTCGGGCTCGTCATGGCCATGCCCATGTCCACCACCCATCGTCTTAACCCCGGTGGAATGGAAACCTCGGTTCACTGTTACAACAAGACTGTCTGTTTATTCGGGCTTGCCAACATGAGTAACATCAAAAGAGAAGATGATTCCATTTCCATAAAAGGGGAAATGGGTCCATAAGTTTTATAAAGGAAGAAGAATGATCATAATGCATGTTAAATAGAAAACCTTGCTATGTATGATGTGTTCTGTCCGTATAATTAGGATCTTGCACGAAAGAAAAGGAATATGGCAGCTTGTTCCCGTGAAAAACAAAAGGAAACTCTGTCTAGCAAAGAACATTACAATCCTTTAGACAGTAGTGAGATTTGGCGCCAGTTCTATTATGGAACTACAAAATGACCAAACTGCAATGTGGATGAAAGTATCAAATGAACAAGAAAACAGGAGATTTTCAACTCTACCAACCCAAGAAAAAGTTAGAGTCTATTATTATCATGTTGAGCATTGAATCAAGCAGCAAAATATAGATTAGCATGCTAAAGTCGTTAGACTAACCCAATCCCAAGAGACCCATTATGATTTCCAACTCAGAACAAATTAATTTTCCAATCCAGTTAATAGTCTCATGGCCCTTGGATGTGAATATCCCAACCTCACTATATGTTGCCACTGCAATTTATCTTGATCTAATTTTTTATTCCTAGGAGAGTCACTTCTTTCGTATTAATGGCTCTTCTGCCTTCAAAGTCAAAGCTTCCAACATTATGCTTTTTTCCTTCCGCACTCGAACACTTCAATTCCTAGGGTCTCAACTCCAGGACACAAAATGAATCTCAGGTGTTGTCCTGGCTTTAATACTTCACTTATATATAGTCTTGTGTATTGGACAGTAATTCATGCTTTTCTCTAGATTCACAACCACTACCTGAGGCAATGAGTAATTTGAGCATGCTTCTGTCAGTTATGCAATATGCTACATGGTCCCATCAAATTCTGCCTAATTATGTGTCCACATAGACAGAAGAAGCGACTTTATCCTCAAATTTGACCACCTAGATTCCAGAGATTGAAGTTCAAAAAAAGCATTCTTAAGATTTTCAACTTCTCTATCTGAAAAGACGTTCTATCACATATCAGTCTCTTTTAGATGCCAAAGAACTATTGATTTGCCATAATTGTATCTAAATCATCAAGCACGGGTAACCACCTTCTCCTTATTACCAATGCCTCAAGGTTTTCAAGGGATTTATGTTTTTCACCATTCAAAATGCCCACTGTTTACCTAGAGTCCTTCCTCTCTGGATTCACTAAGCTCCCTCCCCTCCTCAGGCACAAAAACAAAAACTGACACTGGCATAACAAGAATGTTAACCTTCCTCTTGCTCCCCTTCTAATTGAAGGCAAATTAACCCCACTATGTCAGGAAGTCAACTTAGAGTTTGAGAAAAAAGATCCATTTTCACGACCAAACGTCTTTAAAATAAAACCTTTGGCAGCAACAGGAACCAGCCATTGTATTCCACAACTTCTAAAAAACAAAGCCAATCACTTAATGTGGTCCCCTTTGTTGTAACCTAAAGCATGCACCATATGAATAAAGTACAAAACATCTGAAGTACAAAACACCTATCTGATTAGCAAAACTGCAGATTTGGTGGGTTAATATACCATGCTGCAGTAACTTGAGACAACCCATACCCACCAGCACACGATTAACTATTAATACTACATGCTCATCATTGTTTTGCCATTCACCAAGGCTCTTTAGTACTTTACTTTTCAAAAATGTTTTCCTTCCTTCAAGGTTCAAAAAATATGTGCACTCTTTGATAAAATGAGTATCAGTTCTCAGTGACCTACAACAACTGATTTCTATCTATACAAAATCACCTGCAATGGAAAAATCACTCAACAACACTTACTGGAGGTTATACTTCTTTACATAACCTCCAGCATGTGAATGACTTCAGGCTTCTTTTAATGAAGAACCAAGATAGGTTACAATAATTTTTGAACGGGTTTTCTTGGACAGTACAAATGATAAAGCTTATCAACATTCATATCCAACAAAAACTGTTATCGTACTATCTATATAAAAATCATCAAACCGAAATGACATGACGTCTGGGCACATTTTAAATTTCTAGAATGGTAGACAGTCCCTTATTTTGGTCTTGATATCATGTAACTTAACATCAAGCACAGTAGTTAGGAGTTAGATCTTAATTATCAGGGGAGCATGTCAGCAAAATTGTAGAATTCCTCATACAATTTCGCTCTAATGTTACACGAGATTCAAAAACCTTACATCAATTTTCATTGAATTCACCCTAAACATTCCAAAAGATAGTTGAATTAAACTTAGATACAAATAGTTAAACTCTTGCATTAAAGTTTTCTAATTAAATTATGACAAGTATATGATTTTTCAATTGAAACAAAACGTATACGTACATATTCCATACACTTAAAAATCATATATTCATTCTATTTTATCAGGACAATTTGATAGCAAAAATATAACAAAGCGCGTGTACTATTTTCAGAATAATTTGATACAGTCCATATCTCAAGGCAGCAATTATTACATTTTGGCAATTTCCCCACCATGAACACCTTACGAAACAAAACAAAACCCAAAAGCGGAAAAAACGTATATCAATCGTGTCACAAGGTTCTCTGTTATTACCTGAACTTTAATCCTAATTTCAAATCAAAATAGCACAAGTAAACAAAAGCCTCCATTTCACCCCAAAAAGTGTAATGGCAAACAAAAGTACTCAATTCAATACATGATAGGGGGTCAGGATATTCAAACAGAAACTTAAATTTGATGATTGATCCATATCATTTTTGAACAGCTCGCTAAGCAACCAAAAAGCGAAGGGATTACCCACCGTGACGGCGGCGTGTGGGTAGAAGCCAAACTGACCTGACTTCGAAAGCAACGAGTCCGATGAATTGAGGAGCCTCGCCGCAGACCGGAACCTACTGTTCAACGCCATGGCAACTGGTGCGAGATGAGATGCAACAAAGGACGACGCGAAAATGCTCTTTTCTGCACGGCTGCTTCTTCGGCGAGCTTCTTTCGTACTCGTGCCCGTTTTCTAGACCAATCGAACGCTTTCGGCCTTTTTTTGTCTTAACGGACCGGACTAAACCGGACCGCGTCAACCCTTCTGGTGCAAACTTTAAAAGCTCTGATGGTATATTTGTAATTTCGTATGGCACTAATTTAAACTTTAAAAGCTGGCATCCAAAAAACCAAGAAGAAGAAGAAGAAGCATTTACAAATATAATATATACATACATACATATATATATATATATATATATTAATACAGATTTACCCTTTAAATTAATAATATTTTATTTTAATCTCTTAATTTAATAAAATGTATTTTCAATCATTAATAAAATGCTAATGTTAAACTTTTAAATATTAGCAAAATATTTTTGAAGATAGCCATATTAGTTTATTTTTTTAAATAATCATAATTTGTACAAAAAATTTGTATGAAAAAATTATCATTTGAGCTTAACAAATATCGAGATTAGAGGACTAAAAAAAAGTGCAATTTTTCTTAGGGTCAAAGAGCATACATTGTCTCCTAAGTTAGAGGTCAAAAAATGTTTAAAATTTTAAACTCATTTTTAATATAATATTTCTCTTCAACTTTTAAAAATAATTTATTTTTGACTCATACTATTAATAAAAGTTAACATTAACAGTTAAAAATTACAAAAAAGAACCAACAAAATTTTCTTGATCATTTTTTGTAATGTTTTGATTCATTGTCTATAATTTTTAGTCATTTACTATAATTTTTAAAGTCATTTTCTATCATTTTTTAGTTAATAATGATTAAAGTTAACTTTTATTAATGATAAAAATATTATATCCAAAATAATTTTAAAATTTTAAACACTTGTGAACATATAGTTTAAAGATCAATTTATTTTTTTATCCTTTTTCGTGTGTGTATTTTATTCTAATATATTAACATATCAAAAACAAACTGGCAAAGTTTTTTATTAAACAAAATTCAAACCTTATGAATAAAGAAGAAAACTATTAAAAACTAAACGCAAAATACTTGAATTTCAACTTACCATAAATATACCGGGTAAAGGCATGAGAACTGAAATGTCAAGTAAAAATTATGGAAGGTTTAATCCAAAAGTATTAATGATATTGCTTAGAAGAATAAGAGGCTGTTTAAAATTATTTTTATTTTATTATTTTAAGAATTGATGTTTTATAGAACATATTTTAAAAACAAAAAATAATAAAAATAAATATTTTTTTCATTCTCCTTTATTTTTCAAAACAATAATCACAGAACACTTATAAATTATTTTTTTTTCTATTTTTTAGAACAATATTTTATTTTTTTTATTCTCTAAAATACTTTTTAAAAAAATATTATCAAACAAATATTTTTGTTCTCTTGTTCTAAAAAAGAAAAATTGTTCTTAAAATAAGTTTTTAAACAGTCCCTAAGAACTCGTTTTCTGTGATTCCTTTTCTAATTCCTTTTGCCAATGACATCAAAAGTACCGGCTATAGTCTAAATATTTGAAATCGGAGTAGCACGAGGACACTAGAGCATGAAGGTGTTGGACTAATTGTTAAAAACTCACAGAACATGCATGCATTAGCTTAATTTTAGTGTCTATCATTAAGTGTAGATTGTAAAATTTTGATCGTCGGAGTGAGAACAGGACTATATTCAGTCCTAATAGAAAAACATTAAGTACAATAGGTTACTGTCCCTCCATTGATCACCTATAAGGAGGAAGCTAAAATTTAAAACTAATTGCAAGATATTATTCCTTTGGAGATATAACAATGTACAAGCGTCAAGCATCAGGTTCAATCACAGGATCGATTATTATCAAGAAATATAGAAAACCCAATTCTAGTTTCAATCAGAAACAAAAAATTCAAAACAGCACAAAAATCATCATTCTGCTAGTCTGGGATTTTCCCAATTGCAAACAAACAATTCATGTGTTGAGAGCTAGCCAGAAGCTGTCTTCTTTTGCTGGAAGACGACGGCGTAGACGGGAACAAAAACACCAATGCTGAAGGCACTGAACACAGCAAGGGACATCTTCAATGGACGGTTCTTCATTTTATCCAAGTTGTACATGTGTTTTGCATGTAGATATTCTGGTTCATCATGGCCATGCCCATGTCCACCTCCCATCCTCTTAACCCCGGTGGAACGGAAACCTCTGCTCACTGTTACAACACAACTTTATCTTTTAATTCATCCTTGCCAACATGAACATCGTTCAAAAAAATGATCCCATCTCCATACAGGGGCAAAGGTCCATAAGTTTTATAAGGGATGGAGAGCAATCGCAATACCTTTAAAGAGAAAGCATTGCTATGTATGGTATGCTTTGTTAGAATGGTAATGATCTTCCAAACTCCAACATGGTAATGGTAATGATCTTACAACACAACTTTATCTTATAATTCATCCTTGCCAACATGAACATCATTTAAAAAAATGATCCCATCTCCATACAGGGGCAAAGGTCCGTAAGGTTTATAAGGGATGGAGAGCAATCGCAATACATTTAAAGAGAAAGCATTGCTATCTACGGTATGCTTTGTTAGAATGGCAATGATCTCCCAAACTCCAAAGCAAGTGTGCGTGTGTGTAGCAGCATTCTCCCAATAAAAGACTGAAGAAAACAGTGACTTCCAAAGAATTTCGAATGTCAACCCTTATGTGATCTCTATAGCAGTTCTTTTAACAGAAGTGAGATCTGAAGCCTATTCTATCGTTGAAAAACTGACACCTTGTAAACATAAATAATAGGAAAGTAGCAAAAGAATCAACAAACAAGAGGCTTTCAAGCATACTAACCCTTGGAGAACGTAGAATTTAATTACAATATCAAGTTAAATTTACTAGGCTAACTTGATATGAATTCCAATTCCGAGAAATAATTCCTAAGTCAGATTATAACAACATTGCCTTAAGACATGAAGATCCCCACCTCACTATATTTTGCCACAGCAGTTACATCTTAAAGCTAGCCTTCCATTTCTAGGAGAGACACTTCCTTCATATAATGGCTCTACTGCTCTTAAGACGAACAATCCAACCTTACACGGTTTTACTTTGGAAATTTATCTTGCAATTTATTTCTATTCCAAGGAGTCTCACCTCCATGGCAGAATATGAATTTTATGTGCTTTTATGGCTCTTTAAACTAAACAGAATTAGTACCCTGTATTTTACTGTCATTCATACTTGTCCACGAGAGATATTATCAGAAAGATGCACATGCACTGTCAGTTATGCAAACTACAGTCTAGGTGGTCCATGAAAACTGCCCAATTAAGCATCGAACTGAGGAAGCCTCCTCAGACTTCAGTTTTTGGGGATAAAAATCCTCCTCAAACTTGACCATCCAAACTCCATAGATTAAAGCAGTTCAAAAGAAGCATCTAAGGAATTTTTCTACCACGCTATGCAGTAACACATATCATTCTTAAGATCATCAAACAAAAATGACACGATCCTTAGGTAGCTCAAAATTTTCTGCGTAGAAAGTGCCTTATTTTGGGTCTTGAAATCATGACATTCTTGTTTGAAACATCAAGCATGGTACCTGGGAGTTCGCACCTAAATTCTCGAAGGAATAGCAAAGTTCCAGAGTAGAATACCATATTTTGCAAAGCGTCTCCCAGAATTTCATTTCATTTCATTTCAGAGTAACACGAGCCTAGAAAACCCCGCGTTTTTTGTTCACTAAAATTAAAATTTGATTTAAAAACTGCCAAACCTTAAATTGTATTGGTAACAATAATAGTTCTTAAGAGAGCAACTATTACGGTTCGGGTTCGGCGATATGCCCGCCACCAACACCCTAAAAAACTATAAACCGTGAAGTGAATCAATCTTGTGAGAAGCTTATTAATTATTCTCTGATCTTAACCCTCCTCTCAGATCAAAACCACGTAAACTAACAAAAACCGTCCATTTCACCCCAACAGGAGACATAAAATGAAGATAAAAAAATTAGCAAACCAAAGAAGAACCGAAATTTCATATAACAAGACCAAGGAATCATAAAATGCAGATAAAAAAAATTAGCTCAAACTCTGACGATCGATCCATAGCCTCATTGAACAGTTTGTCATCTACCAAATAGAGAAGGGAATATACAGGCGTGACTGACCTGACTTTGAAACCAACGTGTCAGAAGAGTTGAGGAGCCTCGCAGCAGATCTGAATCCATTGTTCAAAGCCATGACAGATGGCACGAGATGAGATGCAACAGAAGACGACGTATTTGCCTTTCACTGGTTCTTCTTCGATCTCCTGTAATTGTTGCTTGTTATTAGTTTTCCAGAGAATTTACTCTAGGCCTCAGCCATCATGAGAATATTCGGGTTTTGTTTCCAGGCACCCTTCTGGACAGAATCGGGTTAGGTCTCCAGGGGGATGAAGACACCTGGTGGGTGTTTTGTGGGCCAAGAATTCGGCCCATCCGTTGGGCCAAAATTAAAAAAGGCCTCACATCTAACAAGTTGTATTAAAAATGAAAAAAATAGAACTAGTATGTAAGGCATTGTTTTTTTTTTTTTTTTTTGGGGCAACAACGAGTATACAATGTTAAAGTATGGAAGTTTAATCATTTTTTTCTTATTTTTTATACATATGATATAATGAGTTACTTTATAATTATTACAAAGATATTTTTTTATGTTCAATCTTTCAATATTATTCAAAGTTTTAAATTTAAGTTATTTTCTGAACTTAATGTTAATTTTGAAGAATGTAACTGTTTTTAATACATGTAAAGCGTGTATGTTTGATAGGATACAATGTGATAAATGAGATGCAATTTTCAGAAATTTAAAATACAAAGATATGTGTAATATACGAAAAACATATTTGTAAATTCTTATAATTTGTTTTAATTTTTATTTAGGCCCATGTAATTTCATTTGTTACAATTACACCCTTGTATTTTACATGTCAATCTTTTTACCCCCCGGCCGATTAACATGGTTAATGTTATGTGATGTGGTTGATGACTATGCACACATCCAGATAAATAATCCACCCAAAAGATGTGATGTGGCTTATTTGTCTTCTTCTCCCTTCTCTCTCTCTCTCTCTCTCTCTCTCTCTCTCTCTCTCTCTCTCTCTCAAAAATTTTTCCTTTTCTCTTCATATTTAAGATTAATAAAAAAAATTCACTACTACTTTATTTTTTCAATTGTGTACAGCCAATTCAGAACATGATTAAATACTAAATAAGAGTCAAGAATTTTAACAAGTTGTACCTCTTTTATTAGATCTAATTTTCTTTTGGTGCTTATCCTTTTTAATTTAGGCATTTGTTTGTCGTAAGATTGCACCATTAAACTTGATAACTAATATTTTTCAATAATAACTTTTTTAACATTTCAAAATTTTGATTATTAATTAAAAATTGAATTGTCAGTTACTTTTTTTGCCAACATATATTTAATAATTAATTGAAAAATAATTCAACTTTAAATATACTTAATTTTTTCAAGAAAAACCGAGAAGCATATATAAAGATTGAATAAGAAAAATAATAAAAATAGAACAGAATAAAACCAATTTTTTTATTAATCAAATTAGTAAAATTACATTTACACCTTGTACCTATGCCTACAATCACATCACACATTGCTCCTTGTATACACATACTCCCTGATTATAATATATATTATTGTTAATTAATTTACAATTTACAAAAAATATTAATTAAAACCTTAATTTTTAAAAAATGTACACATCTTTCTATTTATGTCTTTTTAAGAGTTCCTTGTAACATATCTATGGTCTTTAAATATGAATCAGTTAAAGACAAGGAATAAAATAAACAAGGGTACAAATGAAAAAAAAATATAAAATTTACCCAATACTCTATATTTTGTTTTTAAAAAATGACTTATATTGTGGTCTGAAAAAAAGTGAAAATTTGAAACGTATCCCCCATATGCTATATGGATTGATTAAACAAGAGTACTCTATATCGATTCTATTCTTCAATCATCAACTAATTAATCCATGGCTCTTTGAAAATTATTCATATCAATTAAACATAAAAGGCAAAAGTACATTTTTTTTCTTTAATTTTATACAATATTTTATTTTAATCACTTAATTTTATACAATATCTTTAATTGTCAATCTTCTACCATCAATATCGTTAGTTTCATTAAGAAAAAAAATTATAATTAAAACAAGAAATAATCATTTCAAGACTTATAATGTTAAGGTAATTAGAGGACTGAAAACATATATATATTTTATAAAATTAAAAGATCAAATTAAAATATTACATAAAATTAGATGATTAAATGTGTACTCTTATCCAGGTCCAGAAAAAAAATGTACACTCTTGTGGAAATAAAAATAAGATTGAAAGTAAATAAAAAAAAATTAGGCTTGAGGAGGAGGAAGCAGCCACTCAGAAGCTTGAATGAAGCCAAGAGAAAGGAATTCCTTGGCATCAGCATCACTAAGGAACTTTGTGAAGGGGGCACGTCCTTTGGTATTTGCACCATCTCCGCTGTTCTGATACTCTCCAAAATATACCGTCCTGCATTTATATAATGTTAAATTAAAAATACAATAAATTGAATTTCATTCAATACACACACATACATTTAATTAAATAAATCACAAAAACGATACGTATAATTTGTCATGTGAATTTTATGGAAGCAAAGAGAATAGTGTGAACAAATTTGTGGATCTCATAAAAATGGGGTTTATTTATTATCTTTTCTCTACTAATTTACTAACTCTAATGGCGTGTTTGGGAAGTAAGATGAGTAGAAAATACTAAAAAACAAGGGGATGAGGATGAGGATGAGGATGGAATAGTATGTTACGTATATATGTTTTATATGTGGTATAAATTTTTTTTTTAAATTTTACTCCTAACCTAGCATTTTCCCATAAAAAGGAAGACACACACACCTACATGCTCACACATGTATGTCAAAGCTGAGTTTGAACTTAGAACTTCTTTCAAGTAAAGAAGATGGCGTTGTTATTAAAATAGTTGACCATTGACATATAAATGTTTTTTTAATCATTATATATTTGGTAGAATATAAATATATTTAAATATTCATATGATGAAGTGATTTGCTTTGAAAAAATGTAGGGGAAAATGAGTCTTTTTTTTATTTATTAATTTTCCCGTATTGCCTTTTTACATTTCCATTCTATTGAACTTAATTAAAACAAAAACAAATGCTGCTCCTTCTTCTAGTCCTTAATTATTTAAGATGCCATCTAGAAGTTTTTTTTTATGCTCCTAAATATAAACTAATTTGCAATAAATCAATAACATCAAAATTCTCCTTTTCCACAAATACACTTATTATTGTGTTACTTAGCGAGATTTCAGATAAGAGAGAAATTGGACTTAATTAAATACCCTAAAATTGATATTCATGAATTTTTGTAAAGTTCCCTTTTTTATACTTTTATTCATTTTATTATTTTTATAAAATATGAAATATTTTCTCTTTTTTTCAAAGACAAACTTCATAAAATTCATAAATTCTCAATTCCATAGGATTCATTCTCAAAGAAACTAAATAAGGAAATTAAAATAAGTTAATTGTAATTTCAAAATAGTCTCAAAAAGTAGTGATATATATATATATATATATATTAACAATTTACATGATATAAATTACTTTTAACTAGTTTTTTTTTTTATATTCCTCGTGAAGTAGTTAAATATCTTAAACCCAAATAACATGTGGATTCTATATATTTACAAGAGAGAGAGAGAGAGAGAGAGAGAGAGAGAGAGAGAGAGAGAGAGAGAGAGAGTAATTAAGTACGTACTGAGCCATAGAAGGATGGTTGTTGATGTTCCAACCAAGAGGAGTAATAATGTCACTCATGGAAGTGTAAGCATACACAACTCTGCCATGAGACATCCATGCTCTTCCCAAGAACGTCCCATTGGCACTCCCACTTATGTCACAGTGAACAAACGAGTACCCTATGGTGTCGTCGTCGCTCTCTCTCGCCTGAGCTGCGATCACGCCGCCGACGTTCCCCACCACCACCAGCTTTGTGTTCAGATACAGCGACTTGCCGCTCCCAAATATGAAATCAACTGTGCCTTGGATTGTACAGTCCTTGAACAAATGGTTTCCTCTGTCATCACATAGCGTGTCTTGAAACCCTAATAACACGCAGTTGTAGAAGGCGGACTTGTCGCCGGACACACGGATCGCCACCGCCTGAGCTCCCTCCCTTCGCCCGTCCGGTATCGGCGCCGAATTCTACCATCAATATATTAAGATCAAGTGTTCGTTAGTCTCATAAATGATCAATGTCATAGGGAAAATGAAAAATTATCACATGCATCTTTGTGTAATAGAAGTATAAGAGGCTCACCATTTTTTTTTTGGGAAGTTAGATAATATGTGTTATGAAAATATTATAATGTATATTATTTAGATTTAGATAATCTTTCGGTTTGTTTCTAAACTTCATAAAATTTCTCAGTTTAAAGACAAATATAATTTAATAGATATAGAATATGTGTGAAACAACTTATAGTTCAAGTTTATTAACGTAACATGCATTAATCAATTGTATTTATACGGATCCAAATATTAATGCAATAACGCACTATAAATTTAAGACGAATAAAGAGTACCTTAGTAATATATATGTTGGAGGCAAAAAAAAAAAAAACCTTGTATTTATTTACTTTTAAGCAGAAGAATACATTTCAAAATTCTATATTTTAATATTTTTCTATAAAATTTGTCATGTTAATTTCAGAAATAAATCAACCTGATTTTAAATTCATGACCATGTGCACATACCATGACACCACAAAATTATAATGTCTAAATGATATATTATCAATATTCAACATCATGCTTAATTTTGACAATAATAACTGGATAATTCTAAATTATATTCATGCACTCTTCTGATAGATCAACACAAACATTCAATCAAACATTATTGCTAATTAGTACTAAAAACCTATATTCACCAAACAAGCATGCTCCGTTAGACGCAGATAAATCCAAACATGACTAAATATATAAGTCAGTGAATTATATACCATGACTTATTCCCAGGTATTCAACTCTATCACACCTAATTCCTTAGAAAATTCAGTAAATTCTCGATCTTTGTGAAAAAAATTGAAAAATGATGAGTTAAACTTACCATAAGTTTCATTATTATTATTATTATTATTATTATATATCAAGCAAATGAAACTTTTAATCTTTTAAATTTGTCTTACTTATTTTCAAAACCATATATATAATTAGTCTTTTTGATTTGAAGGAGAAATTTTGGTGATTTGATTGATAAAGATTAAAGTTTAAGTATCAAACTGATAATTGAGATAAACTTGAGAGATCAAAACTAAGAACACAA